CCGAACCCAAAACAAAAAAATGATATAGATGTGGCTGACGAACCCAACATGGCAATGGCACAGGCAATGTTAAAGAAATAATTCATCTAACAAGTCCCAGATACCAATGCACTCTGTCATTTTCTTCTTCTTTTTTCACTGTTCTCAATCATATGATCATGATGGCCTGCAACCACCTTTAGAGCTCGACATCACTGGCATGCCATGCATCGCCTGAGTGATGATTCCTTCTACTCCCATTGGACTATGCACTTTCAGCCGCAGAGCATGTGCCCTTGTACTTCCCCTCTGTCATGGCAAGCTCAACACGTCAAGATCAAGCTATGACGAGCATCACTCTCCCCTGCTTCCCCTATTCCAGTTCTATGCCAAAGTCAAAAATAAATTCTTCATTTTCCTTAATTTCATTGTCTAATATTTATCTCAAACAAATTTTACACTTTCTGCAGAATCATTTAAAGCTTTTTTTGTATTTATTTTCGTTCCAACAAAAGCCGTTTGCATAAGATATGTTGCATGTTTAAAGGTAGAAGCTAAATGCTTTGTACTAAATAGAAAAGTTTCAGTCTTGTTATCCTTTGCCCTATCAACTGTACTAGTCGGGTACTAGCTGTTATGGATGCAACTTACTCTATTGCATAGCCCAAGGGGCAAATATATAGTACAAAAGACTTGGGGTACAACCGTACAAGGAAGATTAAGTATCAAGTGAAGATGGTTTATCAAAAGAACAGGCACATCAAGAGAATGAAGCACTGCACAAAAAAGTAGCCCAAGAAACCGGGGGCGAAAGAAGCTCGGCGGCAAGAGAATGGGCACAAAAATCCAATAGAAACAATAAGGACCAGAAAGGGCACGAAAGTTGTATAGAAAGGACAAGATCAGAAAAGGAGGTTGGCATACAATGGTGTGGTGGAATTGCATGCATGAGAAACACGAAAGAGCAACGAATGTGGTGGACGCATCGAAGACATAGAAAGATAGAAGCTAGGAGGCACACGCGAGACAATGATGCAGGACCCATCGTGTTTGCAGGGGAGACTGCGAAGGAGGCCATACAGGTGAGATGCCCACAAGTAATCACACCCAAAGGCTAATTCCACAGCAAGGAAACAGAGGATCAGCGTCCAGCAAATAGCACAAGGCGTGCTCGGGCATGCGGGCATAGCATGCATGGAGCAGGAGCACAATGCATGGCGAGTCACTGGTGGAGTGGTCGCCAGGGTGGACCACTGCAAGGAGTAGGAGGCCCGGCGGCTCGATGTGTCAAGCTGGGGGCCGGCAGACTGGAGGTGCGGCTGCCCTGGGCCGCGATGGACGGTGAAGCGGTCAGCCAGGGTGCGGATGGACCGTTGCGGTACAGCCGGTGGCTGCAGCGGCCAGACTCTGAGAAGGCAGCGGCAGTGCGGATCGTGTCTGTTATGAAAGCAACTTATCTGTATTGCAAGGCCCAAGGGGCATATATATATTACACAAGACTTGAGGTGCAAGTTAAGGAAACATAGTCTAATAAGGACTCCTAGACCACAATACTGATAATGATGCAGGACCCATCGTGTTTGCAGGGGAGACTGCGAAGGAGGCCATACAGGTGAGATGCCCACAAGTAATCACACCCAAAGGCTAATTCCACAGCAAGGGAAACAGAGGATCAGCGTCCAGCAAATAGCACAAGGCGTGCTCGGGCGTGCGGGCATAGCATGCATGGAGCAGGAGCACAATGCATGGCGAGTCGCTGGTGGAGTGGTCGCCAGGGTGGACCACTGCAAGGAGTAGGAGGCCCGGCGGCTCGATGTGTCAAGCTGGGGGCCGGCAGACTGGAGGTGCGGCTGCCCTGGGCCGCGATGGACGGTGAAGCGGTCAGCCTGGGTGCGGATGGACCGTTGCGGTACAGCCGGTGGCTGCAGCGGCCAGACTCTGAGAAGGCAGCGGCAGTGCGGATCGTGTCTGTTATGAAAGCAACTTATCTGTATTGCAAGGCCCAAGGGGCATATATATATATTACACAAGACTTGAGGTGCAAGTTAAGGAAACATAGTCTAATAAGGACTCCTAGACCACAATACTGATACTT